CTCTCTCTCTCTCTCTCTCTCTCTCTCTCTCTCTCTCTCTCTCTCTCTCTCTTTCTCTCTCATATCTTTCGAAACGCGCGATCGTGAAGCTTGAAATGAAATATGCCCTGTACGTTAGTCGTTAGTAATGGTAATATTTGTTATGCGTCGAGTAATCTCTGTCTCTCACACTATACGCGGATCGCCTTGTGAATCGCTATTGTTTGCGGGCGCGGAAAAATGCTTACACCGCCGCGTGACGCCACGAAAATGGCATTCATGAAACTTGCATTTGGCACGACGTTCACGAGCACTGTGCGCGGGTACGTGAGCCGCATGTGGAATTGTACCAGTGGCCGTTTAACGCAGTATTAATCGCACCTCGCTCTTTTATGAACTATTTTTACATGCCCATCTAGGAGAACTGGGGCATTAACGCACACGATCGCTCGACGATGAACCAGTATAGCTTTATTTTACTTTCGCAACAAGCGAATGGGAATACAAGCGTTTTACGTTTTACATGACAGCAAAATTTTAGATGAAACCAATATATGCAAGCTAGTACAAAGTTGAGAAAAAACAATTTCTCCTGATGCGAATTGTGACGATACTCTCGTCGACCTATGAAGATGTTTGTTCTTCTTTTAGTACTTTAGTGACAATAAATACAGAAATTTCTTATCGACAAATTCTTAGGGGAAATCTAGAACCGTGATTTTTCTTAGCGTCATTTTTCATAGAAGCTGAAAAGGCGTACGTTTATTACAAACATTACTATTTTTTTTTGTCAAATTAATTCGACCTTATCAATTTTGCATTATAAGAAAATTGTCATCGAAATAATCATTATCGAACGATTTTCTCGCACGAGCTGGTTTTATATGCGCCAGTTGTTGGCACCTGTACGTGGCGGTAAAAAATGAGAAACGATATTTTGTCGCAGTTTTACTAATGCGATGCTAAGATTAGAGAAAGCGTGGAATTCGATTGAGGATAGACACGGAGAGTGATAAAGGTGTTCCTTGATCCCAGAGTGTTCGAATGATCGCAGATCACTGCGTAGCTGCCTGCATTATTCTCAACGCGGAGATAATGAACGATTCCTGCACAAACAGACGAATATTCAAGCACATAATTGTCAATCATTTCCTATATTGTTATCTGATATTATTAAGGAGGTCGTAATGCTCAATGTCATTTTCAGTGGCGCATCAGGAAGACCACTTATAAATTTACTATTTATCGAATAAAATTACGTTCCTATATTTGTTTCATTGTCTAAGTAATAAATGTTGATCTGAGATAAAAAATCGAAATGAATATATATACACAATATTACAAATACGAGAAACATCACTGTTTAATTTCTCTTATCAATATTTCATTTGCGTATCAGTTGATCTAAGATTCACATCAGAGATGCACAAATAATAAAAAGAGGAATCTAAGTATTGAAATACATGCATATGTATATGTATCCTAAATATTACTATAAATTATGAACCGCTGTATGTTCCAAATCCAATAAATTGTGTATAATGTCGGTATATCAGTCTTTAATATCATAGTAATTTTTCATTATCTTGAATATTAAATCTAAAGTTTAGTTTAAATTAGTTTAAATTAGTTTAAATTTTAAGGCCGGTATTCATAGTGGGATCTTATATTTAACACATCTTAAGTTTAACTTCAGATGTTTGGTAGCCAATAAAATCATCCGTAGACCATCTAAAGATGAACTTACGACGGTCTTAAATATAAGATCCGACTACGAATACCGACCAACTTTAGTTTCAAATAATTCAACTGATCGAATGATGGATCCTTTTCTGATTGCACGAGAGCACCTAGATAATATATCAAACTCATTTATACATGTGTTTGTGCAAATTTCAATAAATCCTTACCAAACTCATTTTGCCTCACAATCTCCTTAAGATTTCGTAAGTTTCATGTGCATTCAGAGAGTGTGATAAATACCGAGTGTGATAAATACGCTCTCCAAACACGGACATATATCCAAATTAAATTATATGCAAATTTTTGTTATGCAAAATTGCTTTACCGTTGGTGTACAGAGTCATACTGCTTCTTTGAACACTATACGTCGGATTTCTAAATACCACGACTCGGCGCAAAATCATTTCTTCCGCGAATCGTGTTCCAACCTCAAGATCTCCGATGTATCGATCAGCATATGTTTCGGGCGCCAGAGTTTTCTGAATGAATAAAACAAAGATTTTTTTCTCACAAACATATCTTTTTAATAATATTCTCCCCGCAATTATAATAATATCTCCATCTGATATAGACAATGTATCTATTTCAATCAACTGCTTAAAATGCTCCTAGATTATTTTACATATCAAAAAGCGACAAGACCGATATTCTCTAGTCAGTTTTCTAGAAAGTCTACACCGATACGCTTCATACCGAAGTAAATAGATAGAGACTAAAGTTAAAAATATATGAAGACTTCATTTTTTACTAAGTATTAAGAAATTAAATGTTGAAGCATTTATTTTTAAAAATCGCCAATGAATTCTTCGAATAATCTGCTTTATTAAAAACTAAATAAACAGGGAATTATATATATATATATATATATATATATATATATATATATATATATATATATATATATATATATATA